AGATTAGGGTCAAATTTCAAGGTATTACTATTACTCATCTTTCAAGTCCATGTATGAATACTTTCCGATGAATCTTCCTTATTTAACATAATTTGTTGCTGGAATGCAAATAAGTCTGCTCATGAATGCATAGTCAAACCTCTTTAACTGAAACTTCAAGGGACCAGCCAAACAATTTTCAGCTAGTAAAGTTTGGAATTGGAAAATGAGTATTTTGGTTAGGGGAACAAAAGAAGAAGTAAACAGAAAATTGGAATTGGTGATATTTTGGGCGTTGCATTGCTTTATTTTCCAAATTATTCTTTCACTTCCTTTCAAAACACACCAATTTTTATTGCTTTTCTCTTTCCTGTGTCTATAAAATAATATCTAATGGGCCACAAGAAAATTTGATTATGGAGATTTGAGAGGAAATTTTAATAGAGGTGATTTCAAAGAATTCAATGAAAACTTTTGAAAAAAGTTTTTCAATGCAAATGGAAGTTCTCAGAAAAAATGGTTGAGTAAAAGAACTGAAATGTATAGATTACTGATGGTAACTGAAAATCAATATCAAGAAGCTTCAAAGCACACAAACACATACAATACTCAAAACACACAAAAATAATTTAAAAATCTGTATCCAGTTGCTTTTATATATGGGTCGGTTCTCTGTATTTTTTGCGGTATGCCATACCGAAAGTCTTTGATTTTCCATTTTTTAAAATGTCACAAGAAAACGTTCTGATGCAATCACAGCTTCCCTCCTTAAAATCTCACTCAATTTGTGCTTCTTCTTATTCAGATTTGAGGCCCACTGTGTTTTCCAAAATGATTCATGTAAGGAGTGGCTTTTCAAGGTCTCTTTAAAAATTTCAAGAATTTGTATGTGATAATTATATATCATCACATTTTTATATGAAAATATTTATAAGATAGTGCTTCAAACCTCAGTAAAAATTTCTGAATTTTATATGAGACCAGCATCAGTGCCCAGATTATCTGAACACTGTTTATAATCCTTTCTAATCTTTTTCATCATTGATTTCCTCCCAAAAGCGCCACCAATAACCACTGAATCATCATCAGCATCAACCACCACCACCAGCAGAACAACCACCATCACCACCACCACTGCCACCACTGCCAAAGCAACTGCTCCTAAATCAACAGTGGCACAAGAAATGACAACTGATGAAGTGAAAACTAAGAAACCACCACTGCTGAAAACTAGGTTCTGTCGTGGCACGGACTTGAGTGAAATTGAGGATTCCTACGAATTCCCTAGAGCAAGGGAAGGGGAAGTAGCTGAAAGAAATTGCCCTCTGGGCTGGGCAGGAGTCGCCAGATGGCGCTGTGGCGAAGGCGGCGAATGGGCCTCCAAATATCCCGACTTCTCGTGAGACTTTTTCTGATAATTTTTTATTTCTGCTAATTTTTGGAAAAAAATGTAAATTAAGAGATAGTAGGTGTTGCAATATCGGACTTCAATGGACAAATTAAAATTTTAATTCAACATATCATTTTTCTTCAACTGAAAAAATAGATGAAAGAAATTTTGCTTGCCAAATATTTTCCAGAGATTATGTTTTTTTTCTTCTAATTTTGTAAGAATATGAAGGGCAGCTTTTAAATTTGGCTTCATTTGACAAAGGGCTGTTTTTTCTACACCTATTTTTTCTTTGACTGATAAAAAAGATGAAAGAAATTCATTTTCCAATTTTTCCAGAAATTCTAAGGTCTTCATTTTTTAAATTTTTGCAAAAAATATCAGGAGCTCTTTCAATATTGGGCTCCACTGGAGTAGGAACAATTTTTTACATATTATTTTCACACGCCGTAAAGAAGCAGATGCTGAAGAAAAATTTGCTCATCGCCAAAAAATCTTGTCCAGAGATGCTGATGTTTGCTTTTTTCTAATCTTTGAAAAAAATGAAGAGCTGTTCCAATATTGGGCCTCATAAATTGACAAAGCAAAGTTTTTTCACGCATCATTTTTCTGAAATAAAGAAAAATCCGAAATTTCGCTCGCCAAAAAAATCTGTTTTCAGAGATTGCGCATCGCCTTTGAATATTGAGGACGCCCTAATGAAGCTCAACAGTTCGGAGATGACGAACCCCGCAGAAATC